CAGGCTCCCCCTTTGGGTCTGGTTAGGGTCAGGGCTTCCTCTGCTGCCCCCTGGAGGACTGGCTCCCCTTTGGGTCTGGTTAGGGTCAGGGCTTCCTCTGCTGCCCCCTGGAGGACTGGCTCCCCTTTGGGTCTGGTTAGGGTCAGGGCTTCCTCTGCTGCCCCCTGCAGGATTGGCTCCCCTTTTGGGTCTGGTTAGGGTCAGGGCTTCCTCTGCTGCCCCCTGCAGGATTGGCTCCCCTTTTGGGTCTGGTTCCTCCTAAGGTTTCTTCCTTCTAGGGAGTTTTCCTTGCTACTGTTGCCTCTGGCTTTGCTCACTGGGGGTTTTGGGCGTGGAAAATGTAAAGTACTTCGATACGATGTAATGTTGTGAAAATGCGCAATACAAATAAAATTTTATTGAATTAAATTGAATTAAATTAAAACATTGTCAAGGAATAGTTAGACAGTACAGTGCCGGGCATGAGAATGCATGTAAACTATTTAAGTTCATTATGTTTAATCTTAAAAGTCCCCCAGGATTTCCTTTAGTAATATGTCTTGTGCTGCATAAGAATCGTGAAGCATTGCCTCAGCAATGATAAGCCAGGTGTCACTATATACACGGTGGAAATACGATGCAGCTACAATAACTCTGGAACTCGACCTGAGTGTGGTCATGTGATACTTCAGAGTAGCAGCACTGAAATATTCAGCTTTGGGGGATCCATCTTTGATTACCTTCACTGCATGGCTTTTGCAAGATACTATTTCCTTTTAAATAAGACAATGTGCTTCACATTTATAAGGCTTATAAATTCTAAAAGTTAATGATGACTGAAAATTTTATGGTATAAAAATTAAATGCGTGCATTTAGAGTTCCCTGGATTTATTACTTCTACAAAAAAGTGAAAGGGATTGCAGTCATGCAGAATATGGCACATTCCCATCCTCCGTCCTTGTTTGTTTATCGCACATACAGCTGTGCTTTCATCCTCCTTTTTACATCCATGCTACTGGCAGGGTTTCCACACCAGAAGTAGAGGGGGAGCGGTGCATCTCTCTCTCTCTCTCTCTCTCTCTCTCTCTCTCTCTCTCATTTCATCTTTCTCTGGGCATCCTCTATAATTATTTAGCGTGAAATGGCAGAAGGGGGAATTAAAGAGGAACTGAAAAACTCCTAAATCACAAGAGTGAACATGCACACCCACTGCAGAGTAGGAGACGCGCACAAATAAAGCCCACAGAGCTATACGCACGTGTGTGTGTGTGTGTGTGTGTGACATTAGTCACACAACTCGATATATTAATATATGCATAAAAAGGAAGGCAGCCCATGTGTCAGCACTCTCCCTGGGAGCTCCTCTGCTGGCATACGCTGCTGAACAGGCACTAAAGCGGCGCAGTAATTGCAGCCATGAGAAAACGGCCCTCGCAGCTGCCATGCAGACTGGGTCACGACACAGAATGCTACCGACTTGGGAAGACACATCGTATGTATTTATCTTAAGGTCTCACTTTGGCTTTGTGCCCTCGTGCAGCACAACATACTGACTAATTTCTGATTAGCGTAAATCCAGCTCTTCATTCAGCAATGAGTGAATGAAGTGGACATGTTACAGGAATATTTTTACAGAAACAAAATAAACTGCTAATTGCTAAGTTACGTTTATTGACATAGACTTAGAAAATGGCTGCTAATGGTCTTTGCCATCTTGTTAAAGGTGAACCTGCATTTCTCTTTCGGTCTCTCACGTTCACCTCACTGAAGTTGCTCACCGCTTTCCTCCACAAGATGGCCCGGTACTGGGGCACGCGCTGGTTGTTCTGGTCTGACAGAACCACGGACAGATAAAAAGGGTTCTTTTCAGCATCGGTTCCAACGTAGTTCTGGTGTACTGAGTAATGGAGAACAAACAACAGCAACAAAAATAGACTGTAACACTGATGATGAGCAATAATAAAGCTTCAGCTTGTTTGAAGGACGTGATGGCAAAACCACTCCATCATTGTTGTGTTGTGGGGCAAAAAGGGTAGGAATCAATTGTGAATTAAAAATAGAGGAAATTTCAATAAATTGGCTGGACCCTTTCTGTGCAAGGAAAACCAAACTTTATGAGAAAATACTTTGCACAAACATCTATCACTGTGGCCAAGCTCAACCACAGTCTAGGGTCTGACTACATTTTTTGAAGAGCTGGGGCTGAAATTCAGTAATCCTCAGTCGGTAAGGCAACATATTCATCCTAAGAGAAAGGAAACCCAAATCCAATTAAAATCAAGAGTGCGTGCTCCTGGTCTCCACATAAAAGGTATTCATCCTGATTTTATCAATTAACTGGACAAAATGTGCCCTCCTGTCCCTTCTGTGCTCTTGGAGAACAACAGTGCAGCTGGACGATAATGCATTTTTAATGACCTTCATCATTAAGCTCTGTGCCAACTGACTATTGCCATGTTGACAAGATTATTGTAAGAGGAGATCCTCATATTTTAATTGTGTTAGATTGGAGTGGTAGGTCTGCCTAGTCTCACACTCTACCATGGATATTAAAGCTGAATGTAATTCCACATTGTGACTCACCAGCAAGGGGTCTAAGCATATTTTAAGACCTTTTCCTGCATCCAGCGGCAAAAAGAATATATCATAATATTGTTTGACAATACCTTTCTGTCTGCAACTGTAGCCAGTGTGGTAGCAGTGCATAGTGGGATGTCTGAGCAGTGTGCAGTGAGCGACTTTGGTATATCTTATGCAAATCAGGTGTTCTAACCATTTGGGTTCACAAAAATGTTGCAAATAATAAAAAAGCAAGTTACTTTTTAAAATGTGTGTTTATAGTTAACCTGCTGAAAGCCTAAAACTTGTATTGCAACCTTTGCTTTGAAGGGAACTGGCGTAAGTGAAGGATTCTACGAAGACCCAGAGAATATAAAAAAAAACGTTAGAAAACAAAAGTAGCTGTATGAGCCATCCTTTCCTGAGTTGTACAGAGATTAATACAATATGATTTCTCAGGAGTAATCATTTTGCCATATAAGTAGAATTTGTGTGACTGTATGTGCTGCAGCACCAAAACGCGTAAATGCTTAGATTTTTACCTCTGTTAAGCATTTAACTATCCAATTGACTCCATTGTCTTATTCAATAAACATTATATTATCCTTTTCTCTAGAGAAACTAAATGTGTTAAGGCAATTGTATAGTTAAACCAGCTAAAGAATTGTGATTAAGCCTGAGAATAAAGGCTTTGGGTTTGAGAGTACGGGGAGATGAGCTTTCTAAAGTCATTCTGATTCTTTCTTAAATCCTCACTAAAAATTATTAAGATTTTTGCTTTCTTCCAACTAGACCATTTCATAAATACTTACCAATGTAAAGAACCACATGTAGAATTAAAAATAGCCACTGTCTTGGCAAGCAGAGACAACTTGAATTGAGGACAGGATCACCAGTTAATTTGCTTTCTCTGGATATCGTCTCTTGGCTACAGTTGACTAACAGCACATCAAACAAAGAAGCTCCAAGCTCCTGGACGAAGCACAGCTGAGAAATGCTTGTGTTATTGTCCTGCTGCAGTGATAAACATATTTGTCACAACAGCAATCAGTTTATACTTCAGGTATTAGAGACATTGCTGCTGTGGTCATTGTAAGGCTACATTGTACAATTTGGTCTGGCCATCACTACTGAAAGATTCATACATTATCCATACTGGTGCTTTCTACAGTATATATCTGTTGCATAGTTAAAGCATCTTCAATGCTCGTGGGAGTTTTGCTTACACAAAAATGTTCTGAGGGCAGAATGAAAAATGATTGGTTCAGTGAGCTTGCCAATCAGATAGAAGAGGAGGTGGGTCCAAGCAACCAGAGGACGTGGGACCAAACAATCAGACTTCGTGGTCCCGCCTCCTTTGGTTGTTTGGATTCACCTCCTCCATAATCTGATTGGTCATCTCTCTGAACCAATCATTTTTTTTTCTATCCTGAACATTTTTGTATACGTAAAGAACATATTCAATGCAGTGTAGGTGGCCATCAAATAAATAATTGTTAGCTAAGGCTTTGTTTGTCCTAACAATGTTTTCTAGTCAAATAAGTTCAGATAAATAAAACCAAAGGCATCACAATTATGACATTAATTAACCACTATATGGTACAAACTTGGATTCTAACAGTATATTAAAAACAACAACAATAATAAAAAAATCCTAGTTGGTTATTATTATCTGTTTTGCAACTGGCTGTCTGGTTCATTTAGTTGTTTTTTCCTATTCATCTTTCAAATTACAGGCAGCACTCACAGATCAGGATACCTGATTGTGCGTGCCCTATACAAATGAGTAAATTAGGCTACTGTTCATATTACTGTTTCAGCCTAGATTTAGTAAACCACTGGCAATTAAAATCTGTGCTGGTGTTGCTAGTTGCCGCAAGAATTAAGTGCATGCGAGTGAGTCCTCCCCTGAAATATCAAAGCTGCAGACTTTGTGATGAATAGAAAGGCATTTTTAACTGACACTTCCTGGCAGTTCCAGTGGCACCGCGTTTACTGCTCTTGTGAATGGCGGCAATAATTTATATTGTTGGACAACCATGGAACGACACTGATGCTGCCACAGATGTCAGTCTGCAAAATATAAAACAACCTTAACTGGTGCCAAATTATTCAGCCGGATCCCTGAAATGGATATGGTCAATAATGCATTTCTCCTCATGCTCAACAGTATAGCCTCTGGGGGTGCAGTAAATAAGGCCAGCTGTCCACATGCACATACACGTGTAAAACTCATAGGAGACGCTTAAAGGAATTCATGCTTGTTCTGGTCCTGCGGTTATTACCGCCACAGAGAGCTACTGTACCTTTAGCGTGACCCCCAGACACAAAGCCCACATACTTTTTACTCTTGTTTATATAATTAACTTGTTCAAGAATGGGCCAAACAGAACAGTTTCTCTTAACAAATCACATATAAAAATCTTCCTATACATTCATAATGAATATATGGAAAATAAATAGCAGCATAGGAGGTTGGAGAAACTCACCTTTCCCTAAGAAATACTTGAAGAACCATCTGGTGTGGTATTCTGGGTTCTCTAGGTGGACGTCGGTTCTCCTCCATGTTCCTGGGGTATAGTCTGTGATCTGCAATCACAAGTGGTACAGAAAACCATCTACATATGACCTTTAAAGATGCAAACATGCGTGCCAAATAAATTAAAAATAGTTTAAAGAATTGCAAAATTAAAAATTCTGCCGTAATTTCCAAATTTCGTGGCAGCGCGTAAGTTAGTTCCTAACTCTGATGTTGGTTTTTCATAGGAGCTGATGTTTGGGGGGAGGAGAGGGAGGGAGATGTGAACACGTATTCCTTGATACAGTAACATAGGCTCGCTCGCTAACGGGAAGTAAGATCAAAGCAAACGCAGAAAACAACGCAAAAAAGAACTCATTTAGGTTGTTGGTTGTTTAAATGCTCCCAAAATCAATAACAAAAATAAAAATATTAACTTTTAAAACCATTTTCTTACGTAAATGTTTTTGATAGGAGTTGAGGAGAGAGAGGTAGGCTAGGTATGTGTATGTACTGTAGTGTGTCATACAAAGAAAGCAACTCTGGGAGAACAGGTAGAATATTCAGGGTTTTATCCTGCTGTCTGAGGAAACCCCAAAGACTGGGCCTCTCAATTAAGCCACTTTGGTACCTTATTTTAAAATACAGAATACTGCCCAGTGCTCATTCCAAAAGCTACAAAGTTGAGTTATTGCAGTTCTGTGGTTCCTGATGCTTGCTTGGTGTCCTTCTGATCTACGCCTGCCTTCACTACGCCCAGTCTCCAATCTGTCATGCCTGACCCGGCTGAACCATTCCAGCCTCCAGCCCAACCCCACCCCCTAACCTCCTGTGGTCCATCTGACATCAACTTTAGCCTCTTCCGCAAAACAATGGTTTCCTAGTTTTACGACTCTGTGCCTAGATCCAGCTCATTTCACCAGATGCTCTTACACAGGGATGGCAAACACTCACTATAACAAGCAGAAAAGGGAACACTTAAGGAATAATGTGTTACAGTGAGGTAGGTAAGAATATGGATTTGTAATCTGAATGTTGCCAATTCAGGGACTATATTACATTAGAAGCTACTGCACTTCTTCTGAAAATATCAGTCCTCTGTGGTTTTTGTTTGCAGTGTAAGATACACTGAACCTCTTATGAGAGGCCTTTTTCATTAAGATAAGCAACTTCCAAGAAACTCTAAATATCCCAGGGCAAGAAGAAACGTCTTAAATTAATTCACTGATTCCTGTGTTTAAATACCATAAAATATTTTTGTGTCGTTGCTGTGCATTTGTATCCTCAGCAAATTTGAACACTGCTACATACACTTTAAGAGGTAAAAGAACCTCCGCTGCTATCTAGAGATACTGCCTTCATTCTTTCGTCTTAAAATTCTGTCATATTCTGATCACATTTCATCCTTCATTGACAAAGTCAATTGTTTATGCTTAATTTATCTAAGACATTACCCTTTAGCTAAATATTAAATGTTTTAGATTAAATGCAATCCTTCCAGGTATTTCAGGTTTTAACCCTTATGAAACAATGTAGAAATTGTGAGCAGGGCTTGCAAAAAGATCCTCCTACTTCTTGGAGTGCAGCTGTAGCATGAGAATTGAACTGTCTGCATAAAGGTTCAAACCTGACCTCACCTTGACCCATGAACTGAACCTGCAGCTGTGCCACAAACCCATCATAAAATGTTATTTTGTCTACAGCCAATTGTTATTGAATTAAACGAAAGGGCTGACTTGGAGGGCTTGTTTTCAATAGTTTCAATGTGCCAACAAATATAAAATGCGGGTAATTATTGTAATAGTTTCTTATGATCAGCCCTCTAAACTACAGTCTACCGAAAACCACGATGCAATAAAAGCTAAAAGATTTAGATAATGAGGCTGTTCATCTGTGACAGAGGATCACACAAGCCTGCAAAACACACCACTAGTTACTGGTTTTAAACACAACACTAGGAGCATGGCGCCATACTGGAAGAGTGACACAACACAGTGCAAGCTACTATCTGCCTTCTTATGTTCTGAGAAGATCCACAGGAGGTTTTTGTAGGATCAAACAGTTAGCCAAGATGGCTCTGGTCAACCTGAACACTCCTCCATGGAAGAATGCCAGTTTATTTCTACCACCATGATGCGGCTGGTCAAAGTGGGTAGAAGTCAGACCTTAGACTTGTCGGTAATATAGATCTCAGCTTGTTCACTCGACGGCTGGCCCTATGCTCAGGATGAGGCCGTTAGTGTTTTGGCCAATGCAGAGGAGGACTGCTGTGCTGCAGTCATTGATGAAGCCCTCCTGTCAATTAATGCGCCACAGACCAACATTTTAACCTGAATTCCTGCAGGATCCACGGATCGGTCTTTCTGGGATGCTAAAACAGACTGCTTCACATTCCTCTCAGTAGAAAACAACAACAACACTACAACGAGGACTGCTATGCTTTCAGTGTGGCGAGGCACAGAAAGGGGGCAGTGTGGCGGGGGTTTGCGAGCTCTGCCCTGTGCACCAGGCTGCAGGAGACACGGAGTAGAACGGCACAAGCCACCTTTTGGAAGAGACTCGGCAGAGCGGCAGGCCTGAGCTCAACACAATTCAGTCCTATTCTGAAGGACCAGTTATCTCAGCTCTCCACATTGCTATGAAAATACAGGCTGTTTTTCCCCTAAAGTGGACTGACTCCAGCACAGAAAAGGTACACACTGTCATAATGGAGATTCTTATGTTCCAAAGACATACTGATCATTTTATAATGTATATGATACATATAAAATGTAATTAGATGATAAGGAGAAAATATACATCTGTAAATAAACAAAGGGAATATACACCATATATATGACATACCCCTGGCATCTGGACACTTCCTGTGAAAATCAGTATCTGCTAAGTTTCAATAATTTTTCCAGCCCAGTACATGATCAGGTGCTGCTTTGTTCTCTAAACATATACAATGTTTTAAAGCTTATGTGTTACTTACTCAAAAATTCATTATTCTGGAGTTTGTCCAAATCCCCTGGTAAGCAACACCACTTCTGGAAGGGCGGTTGTAAGCGTGGCTCTGAAGATGATTGATTTTAGATTCAATCCAACCTTGACAGATGATCACGGCATTTAATACTCCTTTCCTCCAAAAAGGTAGCTTGGTCTTGCTGCTTAGTTGACATTATAATCCAAACTACCTGTTTTCACATATTTTTACCCTGTTTAAGATATATGTTTCACAGATGCAATTCAGATTACGTGCCTTTTATATGGGTACAAATGTTGTCTCGACCTGGCCACCAGAGGGAGCCGAGGGATGACTTCATATTTTCTTGCACCAGTTCACCTGCTTACTAATTGATTGCCTAATTAGCAGACAGTCCCTATATCTGAGCTGAGATAGGTCCACTATTTGAGTTGTACCTCGCGGCACTTTTCATGTTTTGAATGCCGCTGTTGTGGTTGAATGCTTTTTCATGTTTCCTCATCTTTAAAGGATCTGGTTTTTGCACATGATTGAGTTGTGCATTGCTCCAGAGTGAGATAAGGGAATGGAAATTTGATGTTTATCCCTGTTTTATCAAAACTTTCACAGAGAGGGCTACAGCTCTTCAACTGTGTACCCAACTTACACTGAGAGCAGACAGACATCCAAGGTCCTTGTGACAGTATGAATCCAGCAAAGAAGGATCCACTTCATGAGGTGGCTCGACACTCAAAGAAACATGCTGGGAAGCCCTCAAGAGCATCTGCAGGAGCTCCTGAACAGCGCTAAGCAATTAGCTGAGTCAGCTCATCATGCCTATTCCTGTTTTGATTTGGAAAGTCAATTATGCTCAACTGATATTCCATCTGGCCCAAGGTGATCTGAACTCACCCTATTCCCAGCTCATTAAGGACCTCAGGTCCTGGACCTCCAGAGCTATGATGGCAACCCAGGTAAATTTAATGGCTTCCAACTCAGTTTTCTGTTGTTTCTGAACTTCAGCCAAAGTCTTTCAGCGTCAGAAGACTGGAATGGTATTTGTATTTCTCTTCTCTCTGACTTTGCTCTGCAGTGGGTCACAGCCATTTATAATCAGCAGTCTCTGATGTGTATAGATCAGAAGATTTTCAATACAACCCTGCAGCAAGTACTTGGCTCATGGGAGTTTTACTTACACAAAAATGTTCTGAGGGCAGAATGAAAAATGATTGGTTCAGAGAGATAACTAAGGATATTGTAGACGAGGTGGGTCCAAGCAACTAGAGGAGGTGTGGCTAACCAATCAAACATCTTGGTCTTGCCTCCTCTAGTTGCTTGGACCCACCTTCTCTATGATCTCATTGGTTATCCCTCTGAACGAATCATTTTTCGTTCTGCCCTCAGAACAATTTTGTGTAAGTAAAACTCCCATAAGCATGTGCTTGAACCTCCAGTGGGGGATTGGGAGGCAGCAAAATAGATGGTGGATCTGTACCAGGGTTTCAGTTCAACTGCAGACTCTCCCTGACAGTGAATTCCAAACATTGGTGGTGAAAAGCACATGGAATTTTCTCAGAATATTCCATCATGGTTTCTCTGATGTACTGACGGGTAAGCCTGTGAGTAGAGAGTGGAAGTCCTGCTTGGAGGACTTCATAACTATGGCTATTTGAATTGCCAAGAAGAACAGAGGAGACTGGCCAAGCAAGATTTCAGCTTCCCTTTCTACAGTCTTCATTTCCTAAGGCAACCTATTCCAGTATGCAGCCTGCTGACGAGCTGATGGAACCAGGATGAAGCCTCCTGAAGCCTACAGAGAGGGAGAGTCGCAAGTGAGAGAAGCAGTGTTTTTACTGTTGGGTTTTCAGTCATCTCTGCATCTCTTGCTCTGGGCTCACTGCGAAAGGCAAGGCCTTGCTAGGGGAGAGAAGGACAGTCGCAAAGAGAACAGCCTTTCTGAAAACCCTCTTTCCCATCTACTTCTGCTTGCTTCTCTCAGTTAGAATGACCCATCCCTTGTCACATTTGTGGATTCTGGTGCAGTTGACACCTTCATTGATATTAGGTTGTTCCAAACATTGCATTGTCCCTTGTAATAGAACAGGGGTGTCAAACTCCAGTCCT